AAGGGTTTATTGTCAGAAGCTAATTATTTTCCTGTAATTATCTCCTTATTTGTTAATTTAATTAAAATGAGAAAAACCATTTTTCTGATAATATTGACAATTTTGGCGACATGGTGTGATGACAGTTGCTTTAAAATAATGTAAACCCAGTAATTAAAATATCATACCATCTTTTAGTTGTTCATATAATTTCTCAAGCTATTTTTAATCTGTTTAAATCTGACGGTTTTGATAAAAGAATAACTGTTGAAGTTGCCATTAGATATTTGTTTAGGCACTGGTGACATCATTCTGTCCTTTACTCCCAACTGCTATCCTGCAATGTCACCCTGTTACTTTTGCTTCCAATGGAGATTACAAGTGGTTGTGCCAATGACTATTGCACAGAAACCTGGGCTAGAGACGTAGCATGCAACTGCCACTAGTGCAGCTGAAAGGTAGGTAGTTGGTGTAAGAAGATGCAACAAGAATTAAATAAATTTTGAAACAACTTACAATGTTTATGATGCAACTTGCTTTAGCAAACTGTCATCCAATTTGAGTTTTAGTCTACTTAAAGAGGAACTTCACTCAAAGGGGAAGTTTCGCTTGTTTCAACCTCCCCCCTCCACTGCCACACTTGACACTTTTTTTTGGGGGGGGGACGGGTACCCGTTTTTAACTGGTACCCACTTTCCAGTCGGATCACTGTGGTGAAGTTTGGTCCCTCTTCCTTTCCCCCATAGCCTTCTGGGATACATCACAGGTCTCAGAAGACTTCAGGACCATTCACAAAGTGCAGCAGAAAACTGGCTGTGAAGCCAGAATCTTTCACTGCTGGTTTCCCTTACCTAAGATGTCGGCTCCTGCGCCCAGAACCAACTGAAGAATCGGCTCTGGTGAGGACTTCGCTAGATCCCTGGACAGGTAAGTGTACTTATATTAAAAGTCATCAGATACAGGATTTGTAGCTGCTGACTTTTAATTTTTCGGGGGAGACTAGAGCTCCTCTTTAGGACCCCCCTCACTTTTTTCCTGAAGCACTTCATCACTCAAAATCAAGATTCCCATTATATTCAATAATTCCTGTTCACACCTGAGCATTCTGTTAATAGAAGCTTGTCTCTCAAGGTTTGAGAAAGTACATGAGCTTCATTGGGGCATAGTTGTGTGTTTTGGTCCATATAGAGATCAATGGGAGAAACTGATTTCTTGCCTCTCCTGCTGGTAACTAGCTTTCCACTGGCAAAAACAAAAGCACACAAGCCTGGAAACACTGAAAAACAAAGCAAAATGCTCGAAAAATTGCATGAAAATTCTTATGCGTGTGAATAGGTTCTAAGTAAGAACTTCAAGCTACTGTATAACACTGTGAGAGTAGACAAGAGAGAGAAAGAGAGGACATTGGGCTCAATTCACAAATCGGTATTTTCCTCTTTAAAATCTGAGATAAAATACCTCATAGTGTTTTAAAAACAAAATTTTGCAATTCACAAAAAGATACTGAAAATAAAGCATGAGTTATTTCATCAAAATGTGTGGCATTTATCTCATTAAACCATGCGGTATTTCATCTCATGACGTGATATCCAGTGGGATGGATACAGTGGAGAAGGATTAGAACCCCTTGACAATTATATGCAAGAAGACAAGATGGGGTTATTCTCTAAGAAGTGGAGAAAATGGGAAGAATTTATGGTGAAATATATGAAGTAGCAATGTAAGAAAGATGGAAATATTTATATATCATATATTCTATATATATTCTAGTTGGGAAAAGAGGTAATAGAACAATGCAGAGTGGGGGGGGGGGGTTTATATATGGGGGGGGGAGGTTTTATTTGGGGAGGAGGGGAAATTAGATAGGGGGTGGGGAGGTAATGGGAATAAAGATAGTAAGAAATGTAATTAATGATTTGGAAATGTTTTTTTTTTGTATGAGAATAATGATGAAATATATATTTTATATGGAAAATAAATAAATATTTAAAAAAAAAAAAAAAAAAGAAACCCTTGACAAATTGTATTGCTAAAAAAGAGGTAAAATGGTTAAACCTTAGAAATATACCAACTCACTAATTCAGTGCCGTCCTTGCAGCATATTGATTAATACAAAAGAAAAAAAGTGACTAGCATACCAGTCAAAGGGAAGCTGCTTTCACAGGACACACGTGCTTACAAAAAAACAACTAAGATAAATTAAGTAAATATAAAATATTTTAATAACTGTTAAATATTGAATGAAAATAGTATACAAAAAAATCAAACACATATATAAATACCACCAATAAAAAAGACAACATTGTCATTGGGGAGAATTTATCTTCACTTCCTATCCCATAGCCAAAACAGAAAATGAGAGGAAATCCTTAAATATTAATAAAATCCCTTGGGGACCCCCAGGTCACCAAAACCAGTGTCCTCTTTGGAAGATTTCCCCTCTATTACTTTTTCTGGGGACAAACCAAAATTTGGGATTTTCTTTTACTTTCACTTTCAATGATAACAGTAAACAGGACAAATAAAGAGAGTGAATCTCTCTAATGGGGGCAGAGACAACAACAAAAACCTGACAAGGGTTCTAATTCCTCTCTACTCTATCCAAAGCTAAAAAAAAAAAAGGTTTGCCTTTAGTTATGCTTTAAGTAGATCAGCCTAATTGTTTCTGTGTTTTTCCACATTTAGGTTTCTATGCACTACTGTTGAGAGAACTGATCCAAAAAGTTAGAGACTACTCCAAATTGGCTATTATATTTTTACAATCCTTAAATACCTCATGTCTGGACCATTACTTATTTAACTCATGCATTTAATTATTTATTTCCTTTATGGAATTGACTTTAACTCTGTTTTATGAGGTATTTACCCAGTGTTTTTGCTTTTTGAGGAAAATGTGGTTAAAGTGAATTGGCAAGTTCAGCATAGCATGAGATAACTGGATAAATGTGTCATATAATTCAATTATCTCATGAGATATTCTTTAGTGAATTGGGCCCATTGAGTGGGGTGTTATTGAACTGAGAGCCAGAAAAGAGCCTTTTCCATCATTTTGGAAACAGAGGAAGGTGTATTGAACTGCTGTGCAGCGTGGGAGAGGACAGAGCCTGCTGGAAGGAGCAAGGACTTTTAGGGAATGTAGTCTCCACAGAGACCGAGCCTGGTGCTGTAGAGTGCTGTGTAACTAAAAGTACAAGCATGACAGGGAAGAAGAAAAATGGCAAAGTTCCTGGACTGCAAACAGTTGTGTGGAGGTCAGTGTGAGGTAAATATTGAGGTAGGCTGTCTACTGGATAATTCACCTCGGTGTCGGAAAGGCGGAGAGGCTTGGCCACTGGCATCACCAGGTCTGCGGGAACGTCATAGTTGAGTCCAGTGTCGCTGTCCAGGCTGTGATAGCTTTATCGCTGAGTTCGATGTTGCTGCCTGGTCTGTGGAAACATTTTCGCTGAGTTAGGGTTGCTGCTGACATTGTTGAGTTGGGGCAGGGAGCGGGAGTAGACAAGTTCCCAGCTTGTTTGGTGGTGAAACATTGCTGGCCACAACCTTCTGCCCACTGCTTAAGGGGACCATATTGCCTGTTTAGGCTTCAGTTTGGGCGCCTATGCCCGGTTTTGTTGGACTCACTAAATTTACTGTTTGTTGCACCAATAAATATTCTCTTTCCAGCCTTGCTGTGCCAAAGGGTGTGGCATTCCCAGGAAGGTCATTGTCATCCAGAGTCAGTGGACCCAACATCAGTGGCTCCTTTGAGGGTAAGTGCTACATATTTTTGCAATTGAATTGAATAATGTTTAATTCATCAAGAGTCACTGCCTGATGTATGCCTTTATCTGGTTGCAAGATACCAGCTATAAGTTGAAATCAAACTTGAATTTAGAGTAGCATGCCAGTATGTAGGTAGTAGCAGGTGGTTAGGTGGCCTTAAAGAAGAAGCAGCATCACAAGAATATGTGTACATCTCTACATAAATCTTTTAGCAGCCTAAACATCTGCTATATACACTACATGACAAAACGTTCATAGCCAACTGACCATCACACCATAATGAGTCTGTTAGAAATTCCATTTCAAGACCATTGGCATAAACAATACAGACTTGGCACCCTGCTGTGGCTGTAACAATCTTTAAGCTTTTAGGATGGCTCTCCAGAAGATTTTAGAGTGTCTCTGTGGGAATTTGTTCCCCATTTGACAAAAAAGAGCATTTGTGAGGCCAGGTATGGATGAGAAGTTCTGGCTCACAATTGCATTCAAATTCATCCCAAAAGTGTTCAGTAGGGTTGAAATCAGGGCTCTGTGCAGTTCCTTCACACCGAGTTCATCAAAGCAGGTCTTTATGGAGCTGGATTTGTGCACAAGGGCACAGTCTTACTGGAACAACAAAAGACCTTCCCCAAACTTCTGTCACAAGGTTGAAAATTCATAATGAACTAAAATTTCTTTGTATGATGTAACATCAACACCTAACTCATGGCCAAAAATATTGGCACCCCTGCATTTCTGTCAGATAATGCACCACTTCACCCAGAAAATGGTTGCAATTACAAATGTTAAGGCATTCTCATGTTTATTTCTTTTGTTTGTATTGGTATGACACAAAAATCAGAGAAACAAAGAGCCAAATCTGACATATTCCACACAAAAACCCTGTAATAACAGAAAATGCAGCAAAGGATCTTATGTTGGCGAAACAGGACAGAAGTTGCAAACAAGGATGAATTTGCACAGACATACCATCAAGGAACATAAAGAAAATGACTTCTGCACACCTGTGGGACACCATTTCGCACAACCAGGCCACACAATGGGAGACCTCAATATTTTAGTTCTTAAAAGAAATTTCAAATCCATTCAGGAAAGAAAAACTTTTGAACTAAGAATGATAATTCTATTTGACACAAGAGATAATGGCCTGAATTTGGACATGGGATTCCTAAATCGTTATTTAACAGTTTTATCACCTCAAGCATGACTGCTTCTGTGTGAGTGTAGTATTCTCCCCAGGGGCGGACTGACAACTCATGGGGCCCCCGGGCAATAGGGGATCATGGGGCCCCTGTGTCCTTGCCCAAACTCAAAAAAGCCTATGAAAAAGGTACCAGGGGCATCTCATGGGGCCCCCTACTGACCCCGGGCCCTCGGGCAGTTTCCAAATGGTCAGTCCGCCCCTGATTCCCCCCCCCCCCCCCCCCTCGCTTTTGCTGTCTCTTATCGCTAGCCTCTTTTTTTTTTTTTCATCCATTTTAATATTCTGCTGAACCTTTGTGATTTGTATTTGTATAGTACTGCTTAGACCTTGAAGAAGGGGACATACCCCGAAAGCTTGTCCTCAAAATTGTATGTTAGTGCAAATAAAAAAAGTATCACAGACAGTACTCAATTGTTTCTGACACAAAACCCTAAAAATGGACTGGACAAAAATGTTTCCACTTTCTCAAAACTGTAAGAAATAATTTAATTCCAAGTTTGTGATGCTCTTGTAATTTGTAATTAAACTCACCGTATCAATTAACAGGTGCTGACAATATAAAAAAATCACACCAGCAACCAGTTAAAATGGTGAAAAATTGATTTAACCTTTCTGTCCTGTGTCTCTGTGTGCCACATAGAGCAAGGAATTGTCTGAGGATTTGAGAACAAAAATTGTGGAAAAGCATGGACAACCTTAAGGTTACAAGTCCATCTCCAGAGATCTTAATAACCCTGTGTCCACTGTGCGCAACAAGATGTTTACAGTCCATGGCACTGTAACTAATCTCCCAGGACGTGGATGAAAGAAACAATTTGATCAAAGATTGCAATGAAGGATTGCTTGAATGGTGGATAAAGAATCTCTATCAACTTCCAGACAAATTCAAGCTGACCTTCAGGAACAGGGTACAACTATATCAGCTTGCACTATACATTGCCATCTGAATGAAAAGGGATGCTATGGTAGGAGACCCAGGAGGACTCTGCTGCTGACATAGAAACATAAAAAAGCCAGATTTGTGTTTGCCAAAACTTATCTGAGGAAGCCAAAATCTTTTTGGGAGAATGTGCTGTGGACAGACAAACAAAATTACAGCATTTCGGTAAAGCTCATCATTCCACTGTTCTCACTATTAAAAAAAAAATGCAGTCCCTACAACCAAACATGGTGGATGTTCACTGATATTTTAGGATGCTTTGCTGCTTCAGGCACTGGATGTCTTGACCATGTGAATGGCATTATGAAATCTGAAGACTACCAAATAATTCTGGGGTGCAATGTGGGGCCCAGTGTTAGAAAGTTGGGTCTCTGTCAGAGGTCATGGGTCTTACAGCAAGTCAATGACCCAAAGCACAAAGAAATGGTTTCAGACAATGCGCTAGAATTGAACTGGCCAACAATGAATTCAGATCTCAATCCCATAGAGCACCTATAAAGAGATCTCAAAACAGCAGTTCGGTAAAGAAAGCCTTCCAATCTGAGAGACCAGTTGGTGAAAGAAGAGTGGTCCAAAATTCCCGAAGAGAGGTGGAAGAAACTCATTGATGGTTACAGGAAGCAATTTATTTCAGTTATTTTTTCCAAGGAGTGTGCTACCAAATATTAAATTGAAGGAGCTTATAATTTTGCCCAGTCCATTTTTGGGGGTTTGCGTGGATGGTGTCAAATTTGGATTTTTGTTTCTACACTTTTTTGTGTCATACCAACACAAACAAAAGAAATAAACAGGAGAACACCTAAACATTTGTAATTGAAGTAATTATCTGGGTGAAGTGGTGCATTATCTGACAGAAATGCAGGGTTGCCAATATTTTTGGCCATGACTGTATACTGGAAATACCAAAACTCTATATTTAGAGGGGTGCACACATAAGTTTAGCATCACGGAAAGATTTGAGGGTAAACATTTGGCAAATACTGTGTACAGTATATACTGTAGCTATTTGGCGAAGTTTACCTTTTATACTTCTATGAACTTATTCTGATTTTGCAGAAAAACATAAACCTATAGAACAAGTATCTTTATTATTGAAGTTTAAGACTTTTGGGCTATTCATCCTTGGTTTGGCTGGCCACTCTGCAGCTAATGATGGGTATACAGTGTGATATTGACCCCCCAGACACTGTGGTCACAAAATTCAAAATGATCATTTACCTGCCACAACTGCTAAACGAATATATGAGATGATGCATTTGAAAATGATAGAATAATTATTTCCAAGATGTTGGAAAATATTCTTGATTTTTTTTTTAATGAAGCACAGTAGATCAACCCCAAAAAGAAGGTATTTGACGTTTTCTATCACAAATCCTAAAACTAAGGCATTCGTCCATCATTTTTGGATAGTGGGTGGAGTCATGCAAATCATTTGTTAATGCCGCTGGCCATGTGTACATCTGGAACTACTAGTGTGAGCACAAATGCAGCTCATTGTTGTATAGCCATTTATTCAAAACTGCTGTTACAGACTTGTTGGCCATCATCAATGCAGGGCATTGCATCAAAGCTTCGTTGAAGAAGGACTTGAAGGGGCAGCATACCTGAATGGCTACTAGAGTTGCACCTCCATCTCCCAGTATAAGTGCTGCTGTTTAGGGACTTTCAGGAGCTAAAGTATTCAGGTAATACAATAATTGCTTTTTTTTTTAAAGTAAATTAATTTATTCTTTCATTAATACATAACTGCATTAGGGGGTTTAGCTTTCTGTCTGCCTAAAGTTCAACTTTAAAGTGTATGTAAAGGCATAACTTTTTTTAAGAGCAGGGAAGCATTAGAATCACAGTCAAATTTTCATGGCTCAAGAAGAAGAAACAGCTGAAGGGTGTTGGATACGAGTTTTTACAGGTCATCAAAAGGTGGACTCAGCCCTAATGAACAGGGAGTGTGTGGCCAAGAAAATATTTTGCCCGTCCTGTGCTTTTTTTGTTGTAAAGTGTTAAACAATGAAGACTGTGAACTCTCGAGAATTTTTGTATGATGCTCTCAATTTTGGTCTGGTGATCATTGTCACCAAGATGGAAAGTGATGAAAGTGATGAGAAAACCACAGTTTGAGAATTACAATAGAGTCACCTGTTCTGGTGATTCTCATCAAGGAGGATGAGGTCTGGTATGTACTTTGAGGGGTCTCCAGTGCATTATTTACAAAATAAAGGAAGCTTATAGGGAAGAGTGAATTACCGCTTTTTTTTTCTATGTGTCACTTTTGCTATACATGTAAAAGACATGGGGTCCCTCACAATCCATATCAGACCCTTTGGATCTGGCACAGATATTAAGGTGCAAAATAAAATAGCATAGGTTTACCCTCAATTACCGGGCCCCTAATCCAAGCAAGCAGGCTGCCAAACCCTGAACCATACAGGCCATATTCCCTCAACTATGGGGGAGGGGGTCCGTGTTGATAGGGACAAGTGCCTCTTCTTCACCACACTGGCCCGGTGGTTTTGGGGGTGTGGGAGAGAGAATTATTGGAATCTGGACGACCCTTTCAGATATCTGTCTCAACATGTGAATGAGTAAGGGGCACATAGTACCTATACTTATTCACCAGTTGTTAATAAACGCCGGATGTCACCCCACTTTCTTAAACTAAATCTCTCTAAAACAGAGCTGCTAATATTCTCCCCACTCGTGCCCTCCTCCATGACTTATCCATCAAGACCAATAATGCAACTATAAGTCCTTCCCCTCGCGCCAAGGTACTACGTGTAATCCTAGATTCTGACCTAGCCTTTTGGCCCCAAATCCAAACGCCGTCAAAAGCTTTTAGACTTCACCTCTGAAGCATGTTTAAAATTTGCCCTTTTTTATCTAATGAAACCACCAGTCTACTTATTAACTCCCTTGTTATCTCTCGCTTTGACTATTGCAACTCCCTCCTCACTGGCCTACCTCTCCATAGGCTATCCCTTCTTCAGTCTATCATGAATGCTGCTGTCAGACTCGTCTACCTTACATCAGCTGATCAGTGTCTGCTACCCCTCTCTGCCAATCCCTCCACTGGCTTTTGATTACCCAGCAAATTAAATTCAAAATATTAGCAACAACATACAAAGCCATTCACAACTCTGCCTCAAGCTACATCACCAATCTTGCCTCCAAATACAGGTATCCCTCTCTTAACGACCTACCTGTTTAACGAATGTTCGCACTTACGACCATTTTTTTCGGCTTGGACTTACGACCCGATTCAATTTCCTTTCCTCGGACTTACGACCCGCTGTTTGGATGTGCAATCCTGCTGGGGGTCTTATGAAACACTGAGCGGAAATGTGGCCTATGGTGGATCTACTTGTGAAGCGGCAGTGCAGCCTATGGTGGCTTGTTTGTGGCCTAGGGTGGCTTTTCCGGCCTATGGTGGCTTCTGTGCAGTTTATGGTGGGTTCTTAGTGGCTTTTTCTATTCCACAAATTCTACAGATTTTCTCGGTGAGTACAGTATGTACTGTAATGTATGGACAGTACTGTACAGTATGTGCATGGCGTTGCCTGCCATTCTTAGCCACCATAGGCATTGCTGTTTCTCTGATGTTCAGCCCAGGTGGCACCATACTTGCAAATAAAAGCAAAGTTATCAATTTGGAGTTTCCTTTGTCCATTTCTTTGTTCTGAATATTGTAATGTACATACTAAATACAATTGCTCGTTTAATGACCAAACTCGCTTAACGACCAGTCTCCCGGAACGTAACTCGGTTGTTAAGTGAGGGATACCTGTATCAGCCAAACCATCCTCTTCGCTCTACTCAAGATCTCCTGCTCTCAAGCTCCCTTGTCTTCTCCTCCCATACTCCTCTCCAGGATTTTTCCAGAGACTCTCCAATTCTCTTGAACTCTCTAACTCAGTCTGTCTCCTACTCTGGCTGCCTTTAGGTGATCCTAAACTCATCTCTTCAAGAGAGCCTATCACACCTCAAACTTAATGCACTTTTATCGCTTCCATACGCTCATCTCTCAGTTATAACCTTTTGTACCACTTGCCCCACCCTTTTAGATTGTAAGCTCTTATAAGCAAGGCCCTCTTAAATCTCTTGTATTTTTTGTATTGTAACTGTACTGTCTCCCTTTATATTGTAAAGTGCTGCGCAAACTGTGGGCGCTATATACAGTAAATCCTGTATAATAATAATAATCATAATAATAATAATAACATACACACTTTTT